TTACCTCTTCTTCGCTAGCAACTTCATTTATATTACTGGTTGTTCTTTTCATTCTTAATTTATTGTAATTATATCCAGTAGCATGTTGCGATAATAATTGCCAGTATTGGCGTCGCTTGAGCTCTCCTGTACTAAAAATAAAAGATTGAATATGAAAGTATAGGTTTGAGCGCACACCAGACGCGCAATAACATCCTGGCAGGGGCCATGTCAGTTGCTTATCCAAATAGAAGTGATGTAAAGATCTGCATCTGGCACTAATCGAATAAAAACGGTCTCGAACTTATCCGTACCACACAAATGACCCAATATAACCACCGTACCATGAAAGCTGGAACTTTGGCAAGAATGTGTGATTGCTATGAAAACTAGATTTCCAAGTTATACATTACGCTCCAGTCCCATATTTCTAATCATTTAAGCTCAAACGGCGTAGCTACAACGTCAAAAATGTCAAGAACGTTCAAAGACTGATTTGGAACACATCAACATTTACACACAGCAATTTTCGCCATCAAACTGTCCTTAATTCTTGGTGTTATTTTTTATGCTTTCTTGACCATGCATGTTTTATCGAGATAAGGCGACATTGCGCCAGTGTCGAGCCATTCATTCGCGAGCATCAACGTGATGATGTTTGTCAACCAGGTAATAAAAGATATAAGCATTGCAATGGTCTCACATCAAAAATTCCGAGTGGAGTAAACACCACTAGGTCGTTCTCTTATAGACAAGATACCACATAGGATGTTCAATGTCTCATTCGTGCTCTATTGTGAAAGTGGAGACATAATTACAGCCATGATACTCATAGGCGAGACAAAAGATGCGATGGTATGGTATCATTGTATATTTTATGGGCTTGCCATCACGTATTACCACGATGTATCTTCATGTTGAATGTGTTACACAATGAAGTTTTGCATAGATACACAGGTGTATCGGGGTGAGTTGTCACATGGTATTATCGGCTATAACAATAACGATAATAAAGAATATAAGGTCAAATATTCTCACTGCAAAATCACTAAATAAATGATATTGTTGCAGTGACCCAAGGGGCTACTCATTGGTTGATGTAGGTCATTATATGACCTCGCCAATCGCTGCTATACGTGCGCAATGGGTGGTATGTGGACGCTACCATACATAATTATTTATTATATAATATAAATACTGAACAAGGTAAGATACATTTTGAGACTAAAATATAACGACTTATTTTTTCTATTACTAAGCGTAGTCGCTTAGTCTGAAGTCTTTCTTATCGTACTGTGTACGTAGATCTAACAGGGCACGGTTTCTCACTGCAGTGAGTGAGAGCTTGCAATGCACTGTTGTCAGTGCGTAGCAACCTGTGTTTCGTTACAATAGGCCAACACTACAACCATATATTCGCCAACATATCTGAAGTGGTGAATGTGGTGCGGGCACTTGGCAATAAATCAACAGTTGCTCTTCCGAATATGCGCAGTTTGTGCAACTACTACTGTAATGGAGTGAGCCCATTCCATGTCATTGACACAATTGTATCAATGAATATAGTATGTTAATATAGTATGTGAATTAATCATATCTACCAATGTCTACCCTTTAAAGTATATGATGAAGGTATATTACTTTCGAAGGTAAATTCTTGCGCCGCTCCACTTACTGATTGATACAGGCAATGATTGTAACTAATCTACCTTTGATCGCTGCTAGACGCACGGAATGAGAGGTGAATGAGATTCCGCATTAGAAGTTTGTGGTATAATTGTTTTTGTGAGACAAACTTATTTATATATATAATACTTAGCTATTGTTAATGTAAAGGTATTTTTTCTCATTCTGAGCAGCACTCGGTCAAGCTGTTCCCCCTTCCTCTGCACGTACAGTGTACTTGAGGTTCTGGGAGCACACGCCTTTGAGCTGTCATCAATACAAGTGGCTTATTTACTACCTGGTAAGAGTTTGATCGATACAGCTACGACGAAGCTATTATGTCAACATGCTATATCAAGCGAAATGGGGGGGGCACGAATACTTCGCAGTGTTCTATGCGCTGTTGCTCTTTCCATATATCTTCACTGACAAGGAGATCATTTCAGTGAAGAGATACAATTCATAATTCACCCAACTGATGTGTCTCAAGATCAGCCAAGCAGTTATCACATGTAACGGTGGCACACTGTGAGTTGTACATACATGGACTGGGTACGTGTACCATGTGGTGTTCTACTCATTTGAGTCCGTGTCGCTTCAGCCACCAATAGTACGTGTGTGGTTTTACAACAGTAAAGGGTAATTTTTTGCATTTTATTAAATACGCAGAGCTCATATCCGAGTTACTAAACATCAGTCCGCATTTTGACCTGTGCAAGACACGTGTTTTGTTTAGGCGTCTTTGACCACAAGAGTTAATGGCCTTGTAAAGGCATATACTCTCTATCACCATGTGCTGCTGATCTTCTGATTCGTTTTTGTAACAAGAGACTAGAAGCTCAGTGAGCGAAGCAGACTCGTTAAGAAGTGTTCTTGTGAAGAATGAAGTAGCTCGTTGAGCTAAAAGCTTTCCTTTCGCAAAGTAGCTGTTTAGCAGAGAGCGCACCTCCTTCCCTAGATACAAACCATAAAACAAGTCAAAAATACCGTACGAATCGATATTGACAAGGCCGCATAACAACTGATCACAGTGACGAGTCACTAATGCTCTTGCGGATGGCGGTAATTTTTCATATCTGATGCGAGTCATTTACCCCTGCCATCTGCAAGAGCATTAGTAACGAAGCAAGTACAAATGCGCTATAGATGACAAGAATTGTGCAGCAGAACCCATCTCGTCTTGCAACCTGCTTTTGTCAATGTCAACACATATAAAAGCACTGTCATTATCGGCGTGTTGTCGTCGCACCGCCGAACGTCCGACATTGTCTACGCGCCAAACTTATCAAGTTGCTCTATAGCTCATCTCCCAGGATGGCCCTGGTCGGCGCGACGCAGAAAAAGTCGCTACTTGTAAGCCGAAACGCACCACCGGAATGTTGTGGTCTCTGCGATTCAACGACTGCCATCAGAGCAACTCGGCTCCGCTAATTAAGTCAGGTGATGGACAAAGGCTGCATTACGATCGCCGATGAGGATACGAATCGATACAACACGGACGAAACGAGCACGCGAGACTCGCTTATGTCCGATGTATCGACGCAACAAGCATGCAAACAACGTGTTTGTTGGTCTCGTACTTAGTGGATAGAGTAACAACTGTGATTGTCGCGCTCGCGTCTTTCCGCAGACCAAGGCAAACGACTGTTTTCAGCGCTCCCCTATCCCGTGCTCGCTCCAGGTTTGCACGTACAATAGGAAAGCCATTGCCGAGTTGAAGTGCCGTCATCGAGTGACAAAGAAAGGGCGTGCGTGACGCTCTCGTCTCGACAAACTACCCGCGGGTTTCGTCCAATCCCGTTGAAGTTGTAGTTGAAGACGTGTGGGTCAGACGGGCCGTTCCTGCCACGTTGACAGCACCCGTCCAACATTGTCGAAGGGTCTCTCGTACATAAAGTCGTTCACGTCAATCGAAAACGTGTGTGTGTGTGATGTGAGTGTTGAGACACGGGAGCTCTGCCCGCTACGTCCAGTCAGGCAGTCACTCTGTTCGCTACGTAGTCGACGGTAGCAAGATGAATTTTCATCCGACTGGCTTGACTGCAGCAGTAACGATCGACTGGATCGATCCACGTTAGCAGACAGATCGACTACGACGCTTACGACGACTGCAGGCTGTCAGTAACGATGGACTGGATCGATCGACGGGAGCAGTATGATCTGCTGCGACGCACGAGTTAGTCCACGAGCATGTTCGAAAGCAGCCCATTTACAGCCAGTGTGATTACATATTTCAGCTCGAGAGCAGTAGCTACTCAGCGAAAAGTTGAGACTGCCGGTGCGACCGCTGTGGCAAACTTTGCAGGCCAAGCAAATAGTGATGCCAATGTCGGCGGCATACGGACCGTCACCCTGAGCGCGAGGCTGCTATAGAGTGCGTAGTGTTATCCCATGCTTGCACTTGCACGCGTCTGTCGGAAAAACACGTGTGTCACGGATGACAAGTCAGTTTCCAGTGTCTACTAACACAGTCGCAGCAACGTCTGAAGCTGAAGGGTTCGCACGATACGCCGAGCGATCTTCACGACCTGTCACACGTGTCGCGCTCGATCAGGTTGTATCAGACGGCTGGTGTGCGATACCGCGTGGTCGCGCTTCCTCCTCGCGCCGGTCCTCTGCCGCGCTCGACGAATTTACAAAAGGAGGAGAGACATGAAGACGAGTTGGTCAACCGCACGTTCGCAGCGCTCTTTGCACAGGTCGAGCATCTGGCGCACCCCAAGTGGCTACAGTCCACGGGGAAACGAGTTGACGGTCAGTCACGTACGGACTCTCTCGCGCGCGCTCCGGTCTATGCGCGCGCACCGCTTCCTGTGTGCTCGTCCCGTCCTTTCTCCAGGCAAAGTCGTGTTGACCTGTTTCAGCTGGACGTCGATCGAGTCGCGGCGCAACAAGACACTGGTCAGCAGCGTCCGGATCCAATGGGTACCGCCGGCCTGACGATGCAGTTGAACTACGACCACACACACAGACGGACGGACCGCAGAGAAAAAGCAGAAGATGCAACGACAGCAGCGCGACATGTTTGTTTGCGTAAGTTGTACGACCGACTTGCACGCACAGCGTGCTCCCATCGACAAAAACAGGTCATGTGAACATAGAGGTCGCCAACCCGCACCCGCGCCGTGTCCGCTTTGCGCGCTCACTACCGTTTCGCCACATTTGCCGCACGAGATCATCGTCTCGCCCCGCCAAACAGCGCATACACTCACTCACTCAGACGCTCAGTCGCTCAGTCACTCACTCACTCAGTCACTCAGTCACTCACTCCGTCACTCACTGTGTCACTTGCGTACGTACGTACGTACGTACGTCCGCACGCACCGCCCGCCGTCCGCAAACAACCGCACACGCTGATGGGCGCCGCCTTGTGCACGTGCGGCCGCCCCGACGACCAGAGCCTGAGCAGTCTGCGCTTCGACCGCCTCGCCGCGGGTCGCGCCGCCGCTGCCGTCGGCTCGTACGGCGTCTTTCCGCCCGCAAAGGCGCGTCAGCCGTTGCGTGTGGACCCCAAGTCGCAGCTGCTCAGTCGCGGAGAGACGTACGCGCTGTCGGACGACGACGACGTCGACCACAGCCACAACGCCAACGGCGACGACAGCAGCGGAGAGCTGCGACACAGCAGACGGTACAGCACTGCGCAGGCGTACGCGGACGCGTTCCGCGCCAAGCTCCAAGAGCCGCCGCTGAGTCCCCACAGTAAGTTTACGCTCCTGAGCTCCCGCTACAGCTGCGCCAGTCCCACAGAGAGCAGCAGAGGCGGCGACTCGGGCAGCACAGTGGACGTTGCCGCTGCCGTACGGAAGACGGGGCAGTTGCGCGACGTGGACGTGGACGGCGCTGTGACGGCTCCGGACCGCGAACAGGAACCGGACGCCGTTGGCGCTGCAAACGACGTTGACGACGACGACGACGAGGTGACGGACGACGAGTGGAAGCAGCGCGCGAACCCATTGGTGACGGTCATTGTGCCCCCGGGACCCTGCGGCCTCGTGCTGCAGTTGGACCGCGACGAACGGGGAGCGCCCGTCGTGGACGGCTTTGTGCGCAAACCCGACGGCCACAAGAGCACTATCGAGAACAGCCAACTCGTGCACAAGGGCAGCGTCTTGTGCGCGATCAACGACATTGACGTGACGCGCATGCCGCTGAAAGAGGTCCTGCGCACGCTCAACTTGTCGTCGCACCTCGAGCGCGCGTTTACGTTCCGGAACCGGTGTGCGCACCGCCACGCGCTGTGACGACTGCGGCCGTGGAGCCACAGCGCCGCGGGAGAGCGACCGCGTACACGAGACGGATCGGCGCAGAGAGCCAGTGCGCAGGCCGTTTGCTTGGCACGTGCAGCTGCGCCATCGGAACGAGAGAGCAGGTGAACGACGCAAAGAAGTGGGCGTTTACGAGCACTTGCAGAGTTAGTGACGCGGTCGCACCGGCTGCAGTGTGTGTGTGTGTGTCAGTGGTTGAAGCGATGGCGTTCCGTGTACAGACATCATACATATAGACTTGCGGACAGCAGCAACTCAATACATGTACAAGACAGCCGTCGTGTCGTCCTGCTTGTCGATTACTGCAGAGGTGCGGTCAAGAGGTCTGGCAACGTGAGAGGTGTCGTTACGACTACTTGTTGTCACTGTTGTTGTTGTCGCTGCTGCTGTTGTCGTCGTCGTCGTCGTCGTCTCTAGTGTCGTCGCCCTCGCTAGTGGTCATCGCGGCCTCGTCCTCGCTGCCGCCTGCGTCAGCCGTCGCCTCGGATGCGGCCCCGGCCGCTGCGGCTCTGTCTGCTTCGTACTTGTCCGCGTCCTTCCACGACTCCTCGACAAACTCAGTGTACGTCTTGTTGCCGCCGAATGGACGAGGCCCCAGCACCCGCACAATGTCCGAGTGGTTGATCGTCTCGTGCTGCAGCAGCTCCTCAGCCAACTCGTGCAGCTGCGCCTTCTTCTCCATCAAAAGCTCTTTGGTGCGCTCGTACGCATTGTGGACAATCTTCTGCACTTCTTCGTCCATGATCTCCGATGTCTTGTCACTGTAGGGCTTGTCCGAGTATGCATTCTCGTCCTTGGGAAACGACAGCTGCCCCACGCGCTCGTTCATCCCATACAGCTGCACCATCGAGTAGGCAATCTGCGTCACACGACGGAGATCGTCCGAAGCACCTGTGGTGATCCGACCGTCAAAGTTCACGTGCTCGGAAGCGCGGCCCCCCAGCGCCATGCACATCATGTCGGTCAGTGCCTCGCTACTGTGCAACGCGACCTCCTTCGGAAGATACTGCGCGTACCCCAGCGAGCCCTTTCCTCGCGGTACGATGGTCACCTTCAGCAACGGATCCGCGTGCTCCAGGAACCAGCCAGCGACAGCGTGACCAGCCTCGTGGTATGCCACGGTCTTCTTCTCGTCCGGTGACATGATGCGATTTGTCTCTAGTCCACCAATTACGCGGTCCGTGGCTTGTTCAAAGTCCTTGAACGAGATGCTTGTACCGTTTCGTCGAGCAGCTACAATGGCGGCTTCATTGCATATATTGGCGATCTCTGCACCAGCAAAGCCAGGAGTCAATGCAGCCATTCGGCGAGCAAAGTCGTCGACGGCGCCATCCAGCGTCAGTCCTTGCAGGTGCACCTTGAAGATTTCACGACGGCCCTTGATATCGGGCACATCGACAGTGATCTGTCGGTCAAAGCGACCAGGACGCAAAATGGCCTTGTCAAGAATGTCCGCGCGGTTCGTACCGGCAAGCACGACCACGCCCTCACTCGAGTTGAAACCATCCATCTCCACCAGCAGCTGATTGAGCGTGTTCTCGCGCTCGTCATTGCCGCCTGAGAAGTTGCCCTTGCTTCGCGAGCGCGCCACTGCATCAATCTCATCGATGAAAACAATACACGGAGCATTCGCACGAGCTTCCTTGAACAGATCGCGCACTCGTGATGGGCCCACGCCAACGAACATTTCGATGAAATCCGATCCAGAAATGCTGAAGAACGGTACGCTCGCTTCACCGGCGGTGGCTTTCGCCAGCAGCGTCTTGCCCGTACCAGGCGGACCTACCAGCAGTGCGCCCTTAGGGATCTTGGCACCGAGGTCCGTGAAACGCTTTTGGTTGCGAAGAAAATCCACAAACTCCATGATCTCCTTCTTTGCCTCATCTACACCAGCTACGTCCTTGAACGAGATCTTGATGTCTTCTTTCGTAATCTTCTTGGCAGGACTTTTGCCGACCTTGAATATGTTGCCAATCCCACCACCGCCGCCACCAGCGCCACCACCCACACCACGCATGGTCATGAGCAAGAAGCCAATCAGTACGATTGTCGGCAGGAACTTCATGATCTCCGCTGCGAAGCTGATCTCGTTCGTGTACTGCACCGGAATGTAGTCATGTGGACGAATACCCATCTGATGCTGCGCGTGCTCAATCTGTCGCTCAAAGCCATCCACGCTGCCAATGTTGAAGTAATACACAGGATTGGGGGTCGGACGACCAGATGCGCCACCGCGTGATCCCATTCCAGGCACATTCAGTCCACGACCACTAACGTCATTGGGCGGATGATCCGACTCGGATGCAAAATCGTACTCGTGCGGTCCTTTAGCATGTGGGTCCCGCCAATCTGACAAGTCATTGGCGTTGCCAGGCACTGCACCACCCTGTCCTGATGAAGAAGCGCCACCATGTGCGTCGTTCAGAAAGACTTTGACGTACTTCTTGTTCACCACCACCAGCTTCTCCACACGTCCCGACTCTAAAAACGAGTTTCGAAACTCCTGGTACGTAATCTCTTGCATCGGCTTGTCCGTCGAAGCCAAGTCGGCCAAGAGCATAGCAGCGACAGCGGCCGGGATCAAGTAAGCCATCCCGTCCTTGCCACTGGGTCCTCCACGATTTCCCGGAGAGCCTTTTTTCGCACCAGTGCTGCCTTCTGACGTCTTTGCGCTCAGTTTCTTCACGTCCGCCGATCCTTTCTCACCAGACTTCGGGCCACCTTTCGGTGGACCACTGATCTTGCCACCCTGGCCTCCGTTCTTGGGGTAGAATCGGCCAAATCCCTTGGGGACGTTCTCCTGCAGCCACGTCGACCAGCTCAATGGCTTGCCGCCCATTGACTCTCGTACTGCATCCCACACACAGCGCACGACATTTCATCGATCGTATCACATCAGCATCGACCACATTAGTACCACTGCTGCAATACACACTTTTGCAGCGACACAAAAGACACAAAAAGAACACAAATCGACACAAATCGACACGTACCGGAGGTATGTGGACGACTGAACTGCAGCACGTGGCGCGTCGTCTTCTCCATGGGCGCCAACGGCACTTTGCGAGCAACAGCGTACACGCCCGAGCGTTGCAACGAGCCGTTCAGGTGCTGTTCCACACACATATCAACGAACACACGTGCAATAGAGTCAGCGAGTCCAGTGGCCTCACAGTAGTGCAGCTAAGTGGACGTCGCGCAACAAACCTGTCCACGCACGTGGTGCAGCAAGTGCAGACTCCGATGGCAGTGCAGCACAGAGGTCGCGTCGTGGCGCAGGCGCTGGGACGCCGCCGACGCCGCCCGTATCATACTGTCGGTGAGGTGATCGGACGACGAAGCCTGACGTCGATCTCCGGGGATGTGGCACTGGGTTTCCAGCGCCTCACATTTATACAGTCCGTTTGGGCGACTGAGCTCATATATTCGATTCCGTGGGATATCGAGTATGCATGGACAAAAGTGCCTGTGTACGTGCGACTTGGTGCATCCTGAGATAAAAGTGATGCTAGAGGGTATGCGTTGGTAGGAGTTCCACGACGCGACGGTTGCTCCAAGCGTTTGTTTGCCCGCATTCGATCGTGCAACCTCGTGCGTCCGCGCAACATTGCGCTTGTTCGGTACACCTTCGCCCCACCTCCCCAATCGACTGGAGCACAAGCGAGCACCGCGTCTGCCGTCCCCGACGATTGTCCCGTGTATCCGTTCGTCCCGCTGCGTGTATTCGTTCATTTCGCCCCCGAGAAACAGGACCTGCGCTCGACAATGCCTGACGCTGCACCGACTGGAGAACGCGGAGGATTCGGCCGTGGCGGCCGCGGCGGTCGTGGAGGCCGTGGAAGCCGCGGACGTGGCCGTGGCCGTGGCCGCGAAGAGTCCAAGGAGTGGGTCCCTGTGACGAAACTGGGCCGCCTCGTGAAAGAGGGCAAGATCGGCTCGCTCGAGGAGATTTACCTCTTCTCGCTGCCGATCAAGGAGTGCGAGATCGTCAACTACTTCCTCGAGTCGTCGCTCAAGGACGAAGTCATGAAGATTATGCCCGTGCAGAAGCAGACGACGGCTGGACAGCGCACGCGCTTCAAGGCCTTTGTCGCGGTCGGCGACAGTAACGGCCACATTGGACTCGGTGTCAAGTGTGCCAAGGAAGTCGCAACGGCTATCCGTGGCGCTATTATCCTGGCCAAGATCTCGCTCGTGCCAGTGCGTCGCGGCTACTGGGGCCGAATGGTCGGGGCCCCGCACACGGTGCCGAACAAGGTCACGGGCAAGTGTGGCTCGGTCCGTGTGCGCCTCATTCCTGCTCCCCGTGGTACGGGGCTGTGTGCTGCACCGGTGCCCAAGAAGTTGTTGGGCATGGCGGGCATTGAAGACTGCTACACGTCGGCCCGCGGCCACACGCGCACGATGGGGAACTTTGTCAAGGCGACGTTCTACGCGCTGCGTGCGACGTACGCGTACTTGACGCCGGACCTGTGGGAGCAGCACTCGTTCGCGCCTTCGCCGTACCAAGAGCACACGGACTTTTTGGCCAAGACTGCGATCAAGAAGTAGGTGCACGAGCGACTGGCTCGACCGTTGACCTGGTCATGGGAACAAGCAGTGGACGAACTGGCCTGCTGCAAATGGGTTGGAAGAGGAGGGAGGGCGTGGAGCGCAAGCACTACGGTGCGGCGGTGTCGACCCTCTTCCGTTGTGGTGATAGGAGCTTGGGGAGAGCGTCGGGGCGACGCTACGGTGCGTAGGTGTCGACCCCAAGTGACTGTAATCCAACGAAACCATTTGCGTCTTCGACTGCTATTGCTGTTCTTGTTCCGGTTGGTTCTTTACGCAACGATAACTAGCAGAAAGACGCGTGTGACGACTGTCGCCGTGGCGCGTCACTAATGACTTTGCCATCAACAAGTCAAGTGGATCGAGTCAACGCGTCGAGTCAGCTGCCTACAGGTGTATCTGCCAGGCTGTGCCCGTACTTTGCTGCACGAACAAGGGCATCATCATACACGACAGCACGTCAACGTACACGACATCACGTCAACATTGGGTCGACACCTTACAGGTTACGCTCGACGGATGCAATTGATGGACATCCCACTGGACGGCCGCTCAACAAAGCAAAGGCCAATGAGCACATGGCCGGTCTTCCAGCCTGGCAACTCTCGCACCATCTGTTGCTCTTGTGACTCGGCTCACTTGTCCTTATTGGGCTCAGTGTCCTCCGCCGTCGGGCCGTCCGCTTGCTGACCTTTCATCACGCCCACACTTTGCTCCAAAAGGAACGACACGATCGGTGTGATGGTCGCCAGCTTCTGCTGCAGCACTGCAGCAATGTCCACGATGCGCTCCTGCAGCGCATGCACCTTGTCGGCATTCACGATTGCAGCCTCTTTGGCACTTTGGAGCTGGTCACGCACGGCCTTCAGCTCGGCGCCCGCCACGAGAACGACCTCAAAGGCAAATAGTTCGTTCATAAATTGCCTACAATAGTGTCAGTCCTGTAGATGGCGATCCATTTAGTCTCCACGGACACAAAAATACGTACGTTCTGTCGTCGTCAAACGAAGCGAAAAATTGTCAGTAAACACGCAACACAGCGACACAACGTTAGCACTTTTTTACAACACACAAAGCGTTTTTTTCGCTGCTTTTTCTTCCTACCCGAGAACTGGCTGCTGCACCTCGGACCGTTGCGCGGCGATCGACCATTTTCGATACAGGAAACAAAGCACGGGCAACAGCAGTAGCAGGCCGTGCCACAGCCCTTTCCAGTACGCCGACGGGTCTTGTTCTACACACTGTTGCATGCCAATCAAATCGAAAATGACGTCGATGGTGCGATCACAAAACTGCATCCATTTGGAGCACTTTTTGAGATAAGAAGAAGACGATAAATTCTTTTGCGTTCTTTTACCATTTCAGTGGTGAGCTGATGAGCACATATTCCTATGAAGAAATATTCCCGCCAACAATGTCAAGTCTGGCGCGCACGCAGTACAAATTGTGGGAAACAAAAATGACGTCAAAGCCGCCGCTCTTCTGTCAATGTCTACGCAATACGTTCCTGTTCGTTCACCCCTTTACTTCCCTTTATTTGCCGACTCTACTTGGATACTGACTGTTCCAGCCGACAAAAGGAGAGCAGCATCCTTTCAGTCGGTACAAGCTTTTCGTTCGCCTACAACGCGGGTGTGCCGCGTGCAAGTGTCAATTGACGCAAACTATATCGCTTGAGCGTCAATCGCGGTCTACTTACCCGTCTGCGTTCTTTATGGTATAAACTGAAGGTGGTCGTCTGATTATGATTATCGACGCTATCGAAGCGCGCAGCGTCAAGTGCCAACTCGCTTTGAGTGCGATGCACAAATGTAAATATTCCGTCCGCCTTTTGTAAGATGTACCCGTTTTGTATCCTGACGATTTTAGTCCGTCCCCCGATCGAACAACCGTCTTTTTGACTTAACCTTATTGTCCCACCTGTAAAACCAGTTTCGTCGCTCCTTTTTTTCCAAAAGACCTCCGCCACTCCTTCATTGGCCTCCCCACACACGACCGCTTCCACCACCACATTCCCCTCTTCTCGTTCTAATGGTGCGAGTGTCCAAACCCCTCGTGATCGCCGGCGTCTGCGCCGTGACGGCCGCCGCTCTGCTGGTCTACGCGCTCACTCGCAGCAGCAGCTCCAGCGTACGTCTGTCGGTGCTGGTACCTGTGGTACCTCATTCGTGCGTCGCTTTTGACCACTTTCGTACTTTTCGATCGCTTGTTTTCGAATTTTGATAGAAAGAGAAAAAGACCAAACAAGAAGACGGGGTACGCGAAGTGCCAAATTTGCACAAAGAGCAATTGCTCAGTATCCTCGAGACGATTTGCACACAAATGGGGCAAGTTGTGGTACGTTTATATATCGCTCGAGCTTGGTTTTGTAATTTGTGGTTTGTGTATATGGATCTACACAAAGACGCAAAACAAAACACAAACGTGGATTGGTACTAATTGCAATAACTGCAGATGCAACTGGCCAAATTGGAGGCCAAAATCCGTCAAGAGTCGTCGCAGAGCGGGCGAACGCTACCGGAAGACCAGCTGGCGTCGTACCTCATGGGTCAGTTTGAAGAGGCCATGAAGGCCATTGAGTCACAAGTGTACGCCAAGTTCCAGACCACGGAGGACGAGGTGAAGGTGGCCACCGAGTACTTTGAGGAGGACGATGACAAGGACGTGGCCAATGCCGTGGCCAAGCTGCAGGAGCTCTACCGCGTCATGACGGGCGGCGGCTACAGCGATGTTGAAGTCCCGGCTGACCTCACGCTGACGAAGTTTATCGAGATCATGCAGGAGACGATGGAGTCGCTGAACGTGGCCATGGAGATGGTCTGCCTCGAGGTGAAGGAGCTGAATCCGGACAACAAGGAAGAGGCGATCAACCAGCGATATGTCAAGCGTGCCGACAACTTGTCGGCTGAGATCCATGCCAAGCACGGGCTCACGCGCGAGGTGCTCCAGGCTGCGATGATGAAGTACCAGCAAGAGCCGGCGTTTTTGATGGCCATGACGGAGCTGCAGCAGCAGCAGGCGGAGCGCTTTGCGGCGGCCGCTGCCGTCTTCAATGGAGAGGTGAACATGGGTCTGACGGAATAAGCGCGTACCAACAATATCTACTAGAAGAACGGATTTGATCACACAGCTTCGCCCCGTTCACCCGTCAGCTCGACCGCGTCTCCAGCCAGCCAGCCAGCCACCCACCCCTCTTTTCTTCTACCTGCGTCCAAGATGTTCATGACGCACGTGTGCTCGTTCTTTCGGTGCTTCTCACGTCGGACGTGCACGACTTCGCGTCGTCCTCGTCGCTGCTTTGTTGCTCACTTGGAGCGAGGTAGCAGACGAGAGAAGGGTTTGCGACCTGTTTGTGGGCGTGCCTTTTTGATTGTACGGCTGTGCATGTGCGTTGGTTTAGCTACGGATTGAATGGACGAGTTGTGCCGGTCAACGACCTACTTTTGCAGTGTTGCGTTGGTGCGACCGGCTGTTACTTTACTTGTTGTGTTGAGCTGCCCACTTGACTTCTATCGTCATTGTTCTTGGTCGTACACAAGTACAGTGTATTGTTGCAACTGCAGACCAAACGTACGGGTAAAGAAAGAACTTTGACCCAGCAGAGCAGACACATGAATAAAGAAGCCACTAAGTCGAATCTCATTCCGAGCGGTATCTCGTTTGTCGAATCGAAATGCTGTGCTGTGCTGTGTGTGCAATGTTTGCACAGGAAAAGCCGTAAAAGGCGCCTTACGCTACTTTGCTGCGACTTGCGCGAGTGACTATGGGCTCCAGTAGACCACATTGGCAGGTAGAACAAAGACGGCCCGTTGTCAGTTTGTTCGACGAGATTCACTGTTGACGATTCATCCGAAGAATGTGACTCGGACAACGTGTCAATTGCTAGTGACGCGCTTTCAGTGCCATGCGATCTGACCACCGCACGTATGTACAAACGTATGTACAAACGTACGTGCAAAGGTCGTCATGTTACGTACAAAATAAAGCGTCGGATAGCATGAAGAAAATATGTGACGCAATGGTGCTGAGCTGTTTTGCACATGTTTCTTGTGGCCATTGCCTCGACGAGCACCTTCTCTGTTGCCACCGACGCTTTTTTCGCGCTTCGTGCCGCGTTACTATCCGCTTTTGTCTTCTTGTAATGACTGACTCGATGTCGAACTTGTCGAGGCAGAAATTTGACGCCTCGTGTCTGGTGATGAGTGACCTGCGATACAATGACGAGGGGATGCTGGACGTATCACGGAATGATCGGGAGCGGGACGTTGCTATTGGCTTGACGTGTATCTTCAGCACGTTGGTCTCCTTTGCTATATGTACACTTTCTTGGACAAGTCCGTCCGAATGAGACAATGACTGGTGTGAGTCGGGCAGATGTAGGCAATGGTGAACAGTCCAATGCACAGTTCACCGCTGGCAACGCTACGAAGAACGCATTGTGACGATGATCGTGTGGCATGCCAAAGCGACCTGACAAAGAGAAAGCATCATGAGATAGTCTCAGGCTGGTCTCGTATACCGTTTGTGGTCTCTTGCAGATACTTCATTGACAGCGCAGATTGAGTATGCGAGCGTTCTAGATACTGTAGAAGATTGAACGAAAGGAACGGCCATCCATCGATAGGACCAATCTACCGTTGTAACACTGACAGGATCTCGAGAGGCTGTTGCTACCAGTGAGCTTGTGTCGCTGTGACTGAAGTCCGTTGTCGAGCCGCAAACGTGGTAGTACAAACGTCGACAAATGGACAGATAGAAGCAGTGTGGTCCATACGCAAAGTCCTCACTCGCCACAAGCACAAGTCGCAACCTGGAGCCTGCTTGACACCACACAACAAGTGGCCACCACTGAAAGCTGACAATGCATTTAATTTAGTAGCGAGTACAACTAAGCTTGATCAGTAGCCCTCTTCTCCTCTGTGCACGCACTGTGATTCGGATTCACACAAACACACAAAGAACCAAGATACGACGACACTGTACCCTCTTTCGTATCACAGACGAGCGAGCAGCGGACTGAGCTGACAAAGCTCCTCGTGATGATCATACTCTATTCATGTCTTCGGTCCGTGACGGGGTAGCGATACTGCGCTGAGACGGCGTGATGGAGCCATCCGTACCCGACGACCTCAGCACTGCCATGAGCTGAGAGTGGTTCAGCGTGCTATTTCGCATGGCGAGCGCTACGCTACCGCACACCATCTGGCTGTTTGGTCCTTGTCCCTCTTCTTCTATATCCCCGTCTTCTTCGTCTATGTCTTCGAACACAAAGATGCTGTCATTCCATGATAGGTTAAAGTCAAACTCCGTCTCGCGGATAGAGTTGTTAGGCTGCTCGCCACCGTGACTCAGCCGAATCATCTCCGCTGGGACATCCGGCACCACTGTCTTTTCCTGGAAAGCAAGAATCGCATCATCAATCTTCTTGGCCTTCGGGACGCGGCCGCGCACAAGAGCGACGAGCTCAAAGCCTGACACCGGCTGTTGCACGTCGATCGAAATAGCTTCGACGAGCCCGATCGGCTTCGAAATGCCCTTGAAACTGTAGTAACCATGAAACTTAAACTGGAATACCGTCGACCCCGGCACGTCCTTCAAAGCTTCATTCTTTGCAAGGAGCTGCTGGCTAGGGCAGACTGCCTGGGCGTCACAATGCGCAGTCCAAGCGTCACCGCCAATAAGGACCTGGCCGCCGTGTGCAGCTTTGGCAATTCGCGCCGTCTGGTTCACAATGTTGCCGAAGTAATCCGCGCGGCCACTAGTTTTATGCGGACTTACACTTGCCGGCACACCAGTCTCAATACCCATCGACATCGAAAACCGAAGTTCCTGATTCTCGTTCTCCCGATCCCACTCGCGGAACTTTTGACGAATACGTATCTGAAACTCACCACACCATAAGATGGCACTCGCAGGCGTGAAAAATGCTAGCATAAAGTCTCCCTGTAATTCCTGACACTCGTAGCCATTGTGCTGCCGCAGCAACTCGCGTGCAACCATACACAATATTTTGATGCGGTCGGCAAGCTCTTCTGCGTGGCAACGAACCAGCGGTCGAGCGCCTTCAATGAACGTAAACACCATCGTCACCGGTTTCTGAGCTGATGGCGCATCCCGCATGCCAAGCGATAGCTGGTGTGGGCTTTTCATAGTCGGAAAGCGTCTCAACTCCAGGTCTCGTGGTAAAAGGAGCATAAGCAGCACTTCGTCACCCAACACTGCGTGGCCGCCCAGATCCTCCACCACAGGGTTGCCCAGCTGGACCAGTTGCTCCTTCAACCGGTCCCACACGCTGTCACTCAATACAATCTGACCTCCGTGTGCATATTCACTCACCGTCTTGGTCCATTTAACAGCTTCCGACAAAGACAGCTCGGGAGTAATATCGGGGTCGGCCGTATGTATCACCATTCGCACCCGAAAGCCGCGGTACAGCAGCATGTTCTTCTTCGTTTTCCCATTCGTCGTCACCGACACCTCCTTCATATCGTCAAACTGCTTCAGCAACTTGTCGTTCCATGCAGCGTACACGAGACTGAGCTGCAGCGACAAACACCACTTGGCCGCATGAAACTCCGAGGCAAACGCAATGACAAACAGCCCCGACCTCGAGTGGCTCAGAATCTCCTGTCCGCCATACTCGGACGCCAGTCGAGACAGCACCGTGTGCTCGTACAGCAGCTTGGCGTCGTCCATCAGCTCCTTCGCCTGACTCATCATCTCACGAAAGCCCTGCACCGACACCTGCACAATCACCACTTTCTCCCACCGCACCGGCGTCAAGTCGCCCAAATCCGTCTTGATCTTCGACACCAGATACTTCTTCCCGCTCCCCGTGTACGTCGACCCAGTGCCACAATGCTCCGACCCCGAGGCTTCCACGCTCTGCGTGCTGCTCCCACCGCCGCTTTCGGCTTCCATCCGCGACAGACGCAGCAGCGCCGAGTTGGTCCGCTCCTGACTCGAATGTTGCGCGCTATTGTGCGTCAGCATCGCCCTCCGCCCGTCCAAAGCCGTCGCGGCGTCAACAGTGGCTCGAGTTTGCTGCTGTTTCTGGACCGCTGCGGCCGCATAGTCCTGATACGTGCGCCCGGCGGCCGACGCGGCAGCGGTCGCGTCCATGAGCTGAACGCTCTTCGCCGTCACAAGTGGGCGACAGCTGCTGCTGCGGTGCTCGGGCTGGAGACTCAGTTCGCAGTCGAGACTGTGCCGCAGCGGGAACGGCGCGTTCGTGTGGCGCAGCGAGTCGCTCGACGTGGCCGAGTCCTTGTCAACGCCGCCCTGAGGCGACTGCGCCCGGACCCACGGGCCACTGCCGTCGCCCTGTCCCCGCCGCGTGTCGTCCTCGGCTGTCTCGTCCTGGTGCACGTGCTGCAGGTAGGGCGCGAGCTCGCGCACAATGTCGTTCCGGGGCAGACACTTTTCCAGCACGCGCATGCAGCACCACCAGCACATGACACGCGCGCGCGGTACGAGTGCGCAATGTAGAAAGACAGCGACCAGGGGAAACAAGCGACCAGAGCGACAGGTCCACTTCAACCGACACGGCCGCAAGCGCTAGGGCCAGGGCTTTCTTGTTCCAGGGAAACGACCGCGCGCCTTTTTTTACGCGTGCGCGCGCGCACTGGCACGTGGGCAGTCGGGCGGTGCGCGCTACACGAGCAGCGGCTTCAAGCGACGACGGCCACGGACGATGTGCAGCTGCGGGTCGAGCGTCGTCTCCAGTGCTGCAACAACGGGTGTCCTCGTATACAATGGACGCGTGCGTGGCTTCGACGTCCTCCTCCGTCCGTAGCTGACGCGCCTCCTACGTCGATTGTGCTCTGCCTCCTTCTCTCGTTGGCCGTAACATGCCAGCTGACTCGCGCTTTCTATGTGGCATACAATGGGATGGTCCAGTCGTCGTCGCGTTGTGGCGCCAGAAACGGGCCGGAAATTCCACGGAAAACGACTTGTGCGCGCGCGGGTCGAGGAAATCAAATGCCCCTTGCAAAACCGATACGTGTCGACGGTATACATATCAGATTGCACGGCCGAAATCGCATACTCTTTCGAAATTGGTAATGTGCGACGGGAGAGTAATCAATCAACGGCCAACGTCCGTTTAACAACGAGTTGAACCAAAACAACAACACCAACAACACCAACAACAACGACGACAACGACGACAACGACGACGACAACGACGACGACAACGACGACGACAACGACGACGACAAGAGGCCCAACGACTTCTTCAGCCTTCAAGTATCCGTCCGAGAAACGGCAGATAGATCGTCGGCGACCGTCGTTTCGGGGCAGGAATAGCCTCGTGCTCGATTGATGGCCAGCGTGGGTTGTTGACCCGCGACTACGGAAGATGGCTGCGTCGGTCGGCGAAGTGGCGTGTAGAGTATGGACCATTAGTGTCGTGCCGTTGGTACCACGTTCAGCACTGGTCATAAAGCCGACAGCAGAGACCGCGCGACCAGATAGAAAGTCGTGTCCGAACCGTTAAGTTACTGCCGACCACCCACCCACCCACCCACACACATCACTGGGCCGCTATTTCGGTCGTAACGACCTTTGGGGGCCACTCGTCTCGCGAAACTATTGTCCACTAAAACGCTGCACGTACACACTGCCGACGCCGGCACACACACATGTCCATCATCAGCCAGTCCATTGACTGACTGCACTTTCTGCAAACTGTGGTCCTCCACGGACCGCGCGATTCAGTTGGCTGGGCGACTTCAGTTGACGCAGACGTTACGGACCGATGACGAGCGCTCCGTGGCCAGCAGAATATCCCGATCCGGGGCTCGCGAGGGCCTGTCGCAGAGCGTCGTCGTCGCTTCTCGCTGTGTTACGCCGACAGGCCGATCGTCATGAGCATCACAATGTGCGTCTGGATCTTCTCCTTGAGCATGAGCATCAGCGCCGACGAGAGTGCGGCCTGCAGCGATGTACAGCAATAGCAGCAACAGCGATGAGTTCACTGTTAGCCCCACCGGTTCTATACCCCATCGCACGTGATGCCGACCCCGTACCCTCGTGAGCTCCGGGCCAAGACCGCGGTAGAGCGCGCGCGGCCCTTCTTCGCTGTAGACGCGCTGCAGCGTCGACACAATCGTCGCTGGTCGAGTCCTCGCGCAACGGCTGTGCGCTCGAGGCGCTCTCTCGCTCGGCACCTCCTTGTGGCTCGTCTGCATCAGCACTTTGGCGCGAATGTACGGGAACAGCACGAGCGTAGCGATTGACCGCGCGAGCGCCCCCAGCACGAACGCCTATGGACAGCGCAATGTGAATCAAGTGAAACCAAAAACACACCACACAACGCCAGTGCTGCTTGCCTCCAGGGCGCCAAGTGCCTGCGCCGCCTGCTTGAACCTGCGCACGTACAGGACCTTGAGCCGCTCGAACACTGTGTACTGGATCGCTGGCTGGAGGCACAGGACAAAGCAGGCTCCGAGTCCCTTGTAAAGTCCGCTTACGCCGCTCTCCTTCACTGTCGCGCCAATGATGTCGCTCAAAGTGCCCTTGTCGGGTCCGCCCGTCTGCAGTCGAATGCCCACGAGCTCCATGGGCATCGTGAGCGGCAGATGGCACAGCTCACTGACGTATCCGATACATAAGTCCGTGAACGGGCCAATGGGCTGCCCGCTTTTGGGCGTCACGAGCTGCGCCAGCAGTGTGTAGGTGTAAAAGTATAAGAATTTAGAGGTCGACGACTCGACCGCTTTGTATTGGAGCCCGCGGTACAGCGACGGCAGAAGCGCCGCGAGCGTCTTCTTCGTGCTCGGAGGCGCACTTGCATCGTTCTCACTGGGCCCGTCTTCTTCTTGGGGTAACAGCGATGAACCCGACTGGATGCGCGTCTTGAGCGTGTCGAGAGGGTACAGGATACTCGTTGCCAGGAATCCGCCGACGCCTGCTGCCGTAGCGGCCGCCATCACTTCCATCGGTTTACTGAGCGCCATATGTGTGTGTGAGCGCTTGGATGTGGCGGGCGCGGCGTTTGAAGTGAGGAGCTGCTGCACTAAAGCGAGGGGAAGTGAAAAGGCAATAGTGACAGCAGGCATAGTCGATGGATAGAGGATGTGGCAAACAGGAACGGTGAAAGCCCATGTTGCAAGGGACACACCAGGAGCGATAAAGGAAAATTGCGTGTGTGAGTGCTTTCGCATGGTATTGCGTGCTGACATACTTTGTGTGACGACATTATATAATATGCGGTAACACTCACAAATGCGAGACGAAGTTGTGGCAGCAGCTGTGGATACGCATCGTAACAGCAACAACAACGCATGTTGATGGTATTGCGTGGTAGTCATGTACAATCCTTCCATTAACTCAAGTTAGTATCGTAAAGCACGGATAAACAAAAGCCATCTGGACCATTGCGTCATTTGTCACGACAGCAAAACATCACCGTGCAACATCTTTCATGGCGTCACCCGTTTGCTGCCATATTGCGTCAACACCTCTCAGTCATCTTCTGTCAGCATCAAGGTCAACTGACGACAGCGCGCGTACGTGATACGCACAAACGATCGATCCAACTCATTTGACCTGCCACAGCTCTGTACATCTTCCCGCCTGACTGTCAAAGCAGCGTTTGGGCTAGCAGTCCGCATAAGCCTTTCGATCCGCTATAACGACAGTCAACATACATGTAGTATATATTTCGCCGGAGAGAAAACGTCATGTTTGCTGCAAGAAAGAATAAATGGGGGGGGTCCGGTCCGACTGTTAATCAAGCCCCCCAGATTCCGTCCGAATACTTTGACGGATCATCATGGTCGAGGGCACCGTCAAACATGACCAACAATAACCGTGTAGCTTATACTCAGCTGCGGCATGCCAAGGCGCGGGTACGTATGGCGAATGACATGTGTAAAACCTGTATACGAAATGACCTGGAATCAAATGAGCTTAGCCATGTTTATATCCTCGTCTCGGTGGCTGATGACACCATACCAAAGCTCCATGCGCACTATGTGGGCGGCGAATAACCCGATGTCGTTATGGTACTGCGATCGAAGCTTTACAATGGCCGTGCTGCGTTGGTATTTGTTCATGGTGATCAAACTTTTGCTTGATCAGTTACCGCAGGAACAGCAACAGCGCTTATGTTGCCTTCTCGGCACTTTACCGGGGAATGTCTGGCAGACGTGTAAAAATGTGGTACATGTTGATGCAAAAGTTGTGTTCGCGAAGTGGCATTTTGACGTAATTAGCATAACGAGGACAAGTTGCGCCAGATTCGAAGAGACTTTGTGTCCGGCAATCAAAGTTCCCTCGGATGATTTTGAAGCGACCATTGTCGTACATGTCACTCTTCTTACCTCCGTCCTAGCTCCTGAGCAATCTCGGATGCAACGTATGGCGGACATACCTGCCTCAATGTCATCGAGTAGGTAGAAAGGGAACAGGCGACAGCTATCATGAGATAGAGCATCGTAAACTAGTTTGCCTAGCCCGATTGTACGAGAAAGCCCCTGTTTACATAATGAACGAAGAGTTGAAGTGAAGGTGTAGTACTGCGTGGCTGATGTGCTTACTATTGGGTACAAACAAACACTCGTGGATGAGCGTAGTATGCCACATTTGGGCAGATATGGACCTTGTTAACGCGGTAGCATACTACACGTACGTTGTGGCAGTTGCACTCGTGTAATGCAGTCCGACAAAAAAAGCGGCATCTTATGCGACTGAGAGTTCTGGTAATGTCCTTCCCGTTCCAGCCTGTGAGATTAGACACGCAGTATACAAGCGCTGAGGTGGTCATCATCTTCGTGCTATGGATAAGGTCACTGCGTCCGTTTCCAGACATCAAGCACACCTACACAAAGGCTTGTAGGCATATGATCGGACAAGCGTCAAGGGCTTCGCCAGTCAGCTGTCCTCTGATACTCCACCTGTGCGGCGCCACGACGGCCATGCAGAGGCACTGCCGATTGCTACAGACGCGGCAGTCTGGAAGCGCAACGGCTGATATGTACTCACACAGCGCCAACGCCCGTTACTCATCATGCGCCACTAGCCTCTGTCCCTATAAACGGACGTCACATCGGCTCTGCGCGTGCGAACGCCAGCAAAGCGCGCGCAAGATGAAGAGCAGAGACGGCGGCAAGAGGCTGATCTGCTGGACAGTCCATCAGCAGTAGTAGCGCGTGAACCCGTTCACGTTTTTCGTTAGCCTTCCAAATGATGCCACAATCATTCGTGCGGCCAGAGGCATTGGAAGGAGCACCTCGTCCTTCGTATCCCTTCTGCAGCATTGCCGTCTTTCCTTCCGCCCAGATGCTGCCGAAGGAGGAACAAGCTCTGCAGGATCGTTATCTTCGGCATACCACAAGTCTACTGCGTCTCGAAGAGCGCCGTCGCTGCCGCTGCTGGGCCATACCTGAAGCTCTTACTCTACGTGCGTGGCTCGCACCATGCAATAAGCGTCTACAGGCTGTACATGCGCCGGTCGTGCTCTTCCTAGCACATTCCATATGAAAGTGCAACAGTCATCGAGCGCCCATCACAGCAAATCGAGCATCTTACTACCACGGCGTACCATCTTAGGCGAGACGGTCAGACGTGCAGAGTGTTGGGTTACGGGATCAAAGTGCGGACACCGTCTTCGGCAAACAGACTGAGTCGGTCTCTCTCGTCTCTCTGTCATGACGGAGTGACAGTCAGTCATCGTGACGTGACGGACGCGGCCATTCACAACATGCTCTAGTCACCCTCATTTGACCTATTGGGGTCATGTGGCCGCATCAGTTGCGTGGTCGAAACATGAAGCGAGTGACGTGTCTTCTCGTGGACAAAGTCCTGGTTGAAGTCAAGAGCGGATGAGCCCACCTGGATCCTGCCTCGTTTGTAGCGATAGTGGTGTCGACACTCGTCCGATCCACCTGCCAATTTGGCCTTTCTGCGCGTTTGCACGGGGATCTGAAATACCATCGGTCTCGTCTAGCGGTCTGTTCACTGAGGATTGCTTCGAGCTATGTGCATCAGCTCCTGATTGATCCGTTTGACTGATGCTGCGGCAAATAATAGACCAAACAGGGACACCCTTTTTGCCGGTATCGACTCCACCGAAAGGCAAAGGAGCGCAATGACCGAGACCGGACATATGCAGCTGCGTCGGGACAGCATGAGATAGACATGTCCACGATCGTCCGTGCTCAGTGTTCTAGAATTGATGGAAAGATATGCACATTACATTTCTGATGTTACGGGTGCTCACCGGGTCAATGGGAATATAATCTGAATTGATACTATCCTACAACATTTACTTGGCTTATTTGATACTGTGGGAATCGAACCGTCGAAGGTGGTATTTGGCATCGCTCCACTAATGACAGACTATGTCAGTGTACGTAGCTTGTTCTGTGTCGGTAGAAGCGTAGGGTGCCACATTCCAGGAAACGCTAGTAGCCTTCCTACTGTATTCAATTCCTCTAGAGTCAGTCATTGCTACTGCAAACAGACGATGCGAACGCCGTTTTGACGGCAAAACACAGCGCCGATAAGACGCGGTCTAGTGGTAATCTTTGCCGACTGGCGTCGATCAAAAAGGATCGAAAATCGCCGTTGCGCTGCTAGCGCTCGAACGGCAGCTCTGTTAAGAAGGTCATCAAAGACCGCATCACAAGTAAATTTGGTAACACTCACACATGCTTTGTTCTGTAGCGCCTCTTTTTCATTCTCCATTGCAGATAAGTCAACTGTAGCGTGGGAGAACGAGGCGACGCAAGACGCTGCAGCTGACCACGTGCTTGGCGTGTATGGTCACAATGCCGACCCCTTCGAGCGCGCTGGTAGACGATACATCGACCGCCGTCTACGTGCGCTGCAACAACGTACACTGGTGACAAACCTTCTTGTGCGTGTGATGAAGCTCGAAACGAGATCGCCGGTACGCAGGAGTGCAAGATTTTGCTTCGTGTGAAGATTGCATCAGACCTGACGGAAAAAGAAGAAGACAGGCAGGGCTATGCTGTATTCGCTCGTGACCTGATGCTTGTCAACTCGTGGTGCTAAGAATCGGAGATTGAGTGGGCCATATACCTGGAATGGGGCTGTCAAGGGCGAGACTGGTGGGCTGAGCAGTTTACCTGTGCGTAGCATGGCTACGAAGGTGCTACAAGACATGTACGAGCTTAGCAGTGGACAAAACCCCGATATTGATGTCGGAAGGTTGTTTACTTGTCAAGACGCTTACGAAAAGAGTTTTGCTGGAACATCAGTCGTACCGATGTCCTGTGGCCAATAACTGGATGTAAGTTGCTTCGGCGCGCGTACGTCGTGGAACGCCGACATCCAAAGTCCTGCTGTTTCTCCCCTTCGTCTAAAATGAGTCGTTGTTCTCCACTTGCATCGGTAAGTAGGTAGACCGATTAGCCGTCGGTAGGTAGCCCGGATACATCATTATACGACGCAGGGCATGACGTGTACCGCTCTTTTATCACATGTCGTGATAGCTGGTTGGCAGGCATGGAACTCTTTCACGTATACTCGCTGACCGAGTTGACGGTTAAGGCTGCGATTGTCTGTACAATTGACGTGGCGTGTCATTTGGCTACCACTCGAGTTGGTAATTGCCGACGACTGTCGTCCGCTGCACAGTAATGCTGTTGAGCAGTCGGGACCGTCCATCCGATCCATCTATTGATCTGTTGCCGCATTGCTTCAATTGATGTTAAGCGTTCCGATGGCGACGTTGTGGTCGGATACGAACACAAAGTCGTTCGAGCTGATGTCGCGACCTCAGTGCTAACAGCTTTCAGATCGTGGCCCTATGTTGATGGTAATATTGCAGGTACATACGGTAAATTGTGGGCGCAGGGTAGAACAAACCACACTGCGCACGATAACCTGTTTACGCGACAGCACTATGTCAACTGGTTATGCCATCATCTATCGCTCGCCGGTCCAGACTCTGTTTCGACCTTTGTTTTCCGCCAATCAAATCGATCTTTCTCTTGTTTAGCTTGTGCTCGAACGTCGACCACTGCCGACCCCTTTTATAGAATACGTCGCATTCGTAACAAGAATATAACCACACCACACACCTCGAGCCGAGAGAGATTACGCCCCGCTGTTTCATTTCGTTATTGACCTTTTGCTCCCGATTCTCTCTGCAGCTATAGGTGTACCCGCCTCGCAGCTGCACCTTTAACGACCGCCTCAATGGAGCTCCGCAATACACGCGCAGCAGCCGCAGCAGATACGTCGGCCATTGGTTGCTGGGGCCCCCCCACGTCGACGATCGACTGGTGCGAGCTCAACTACCAGCACAGTTTCTACGTTGCCGAGTTCTGGAACACCATTAGCAATCTGCTCTTCGTCGTGCTCGGCCTCTACGGTCTCTACCGCAGTGTCAAGATGCGCTTCGAGCCGCGTTTCCATGTCCAGTTCATTGGGGTTATGGTCACGGGCATGGGCTCGGCCATGTTCCACGGCACGCTGCAGCACGTGTACCAGCAGTGCGACGAGACGCCCATGGTCTGGTCCATCCTGGCGTGGCTCTACATTGTCTACAGCCCCGAGATCGAGCAGCTCCCGATCCGAAACGCAAAGGCCGTTGCAGTCGCGTGTCTCACGGCGCTCGGCGTGCTGTTCACCGTCGTGCATGCCGTCTACCGCTTCACGACCGTCTTCCAGCTCTTCTTTACTGTCCTCGCTGTTGTTGCATGCGTGCGGCTGTGCAAGTACTGCAAAGAGGTGCAAGACCCTCGTGCACGGGCTGTCGCGCGGTCCTACGTGACGTCAGCCCTCATTGGGTCGACGTTCTGGTTCATGGACTATCATTATTGCCATACGTTCCACGGCCTTCGCATCAACCCGCAAGGTCATGCTTGGTACGTCTAAAAAGCTCGTGCTAGTGCTGAAGCTGGTGCTGTTGCTAGTGCTACCTCTTGTTGTAATTGTGTACGTGCTGGACCGTTCTCACATTGCGTCGTTGTAGGTGGCATATCTTTATGGGCATTTCGTCGTACCATGGTCCGATCTTTATGCAGTACGTGCGTATGGAGCAGCTGCAGAAGAAGGCATGGATCGAAGACGCTTGTTTGGGTATCCAGACCATCACCGTTGCCGAAAACGGGTCGACGGACTTTGAGAAATCCAAGCAGGTGTGAACGCGTCTCTTTAGTGGAAAGTTGATGCCGTTCACGCTCGCAAAGAGCATTGATACCGCTGAAGCTGGTGCAGTTCAATCGCGTGTGGTCTTGCTCGGAGACACTCGGTGATGCCCACATATGCACCGCGAGAGGTTCAGCCATTTGGAAGGCTTTGCCACCTCGACCTTTATTTGCAATTCCAGTCTAACGTTATGCCCCTTCAGGTCTTCGCTCATGTCACTTTGCCTCTGCTTTGTTACACTGTCCATTTGCTGACCGATTTCCATGTACAGGTCACACGTCAAGAGTCGTCGACATTCCGTTGGTTCGTACTGCGAGATAAATTAGCTTCTACATTGTTGATGCTGCTGCTGCAGATGGCGTAATAATGTTCATGGACATCTTGATACTCAATTGCCAATTACTGCCGTGTAAGTAGTGCAAACAAAACCGCTGAGAAAAAGAAATTGGTACCCCAATATACGTGATAATGACAGCTTAGGCTGCTCGAAAGCAGCAAACAAGACACTCACACATGCATGCACGATATGCATGGAGCCCATGACGCCCATCTCGCACAATGACGCAATAATTACCCCGCGACTGATCGTATTTCGTTGACATACAGCTTAACAGTCTCGCTCTATCCCGTCCCATTTCTACTTTGCGTGTCACCTGTCCCCAGCCATTTCTAACGCGAACAACAATCCCATGGAAGAGCCCGTGCGCCAGCAGCTACTCGGAGACACTATCTACGCGAGTCTGACCGAAGCCGACCTCATCGATCTCGTGGAACAAGCGAAGGCACAGCTGCACGACTCGTGGCAGCGCTCGACGATAGCGTCCGAGGCGTTTGCGGTTGGCGTGTGCCTCGTGACGAGTCGAGTCGTGGGGTACCTCGTCCAGCATCGACCCGTGTCAGCCCATACAGTACCGTCGCAGTGGCCCAAGCGCGTGTTCTTACTGGAAACAGCAATTGCAATTGCTTCCACAAGTGTCAGAGACTCGACGGCCGACGATGTGGCGCTCACGTGTGCTGAAGGTCGGGAGGTGTGCACTGTTTACGCGCACCTCCTGCGCAGACTGTACCCAACCGCACGGTCGCCAGTTGAAGCAATGAAAGTCATGAACAAAGTGGGTGTGCTGCTGGCCATGAGCTGGTTCGCATATGACCGAACGGGAACGATCGATGCAGTGGAGAAGCTGCTGACGGTGTGCAGCGACTTCTGTTTGCAGCACCAACCGATTCGGTATCTGAGTAAATGGCCACAATTTCTGCTTGGAATGGTCAAAGTCGTTGAGAAGAACGAGTGCCGTGAAGCTTTGCAGTGTTTTGGCAAGACTGTGGCGCAATGTGACGACAGGGCAGCTGAGGACAGTGTGTTTTTCTATTGGTATGCTGTGGCGTTGATTGGCAACGGACGTTTTGATGATGCTGCCACTGTACTTGACCGGTGCATTCGACAAAACTACGAACCTGTGGCTTGCCTGTCGCTTCAGGCGCTTGCGAACGTGAAACTGCAGGATTATCACGCGGCGACGGGGCAACTTGAGCGAGCGTTGCAGATCGACCACACGCACTTAAAGTCGCTAATGAACTATGCTCTCTTGATGGAGCAAATGGGTAACACGGACGTGGAACAGCAACTGCTAGAGACGGTGTTGAAGATCCGTGAAGGTGTGGGCAACAAACACACGTATACTTTCGAGTGCAGGCAGAGAAGTGAGGCTGCAAATGATGCTTCTGGCGTGCCGATGCCATTGACGGCACTTTTCGAGGATGTTTGTCTGGGGTCGCTGTTTCCGTCTCGGCGGACGGGCGTCGTGGACATGTCGACAGTACATCACCGTCTGGCTTTAGCGGCACTGGAAAACGGTAAGCGTATGATTGTGCCAAAGTTGTGAGAAGAGAGCTGACGTTTTTGCACATGACTTGTCAGGCAATTGGCTTGAGTCGAAACATCACTTTGAAGCGTTTGTTGGTCTCGAGGGTCCGTGCACGTCACTCAGTGTGGACGTGGATGTTGCTCGGGACTATGTCTACGTGCTACTTCAGGTATGACACCCCGTTTTGGTCGACTAGACGTGCAGCGCGCCTAACTCATTTGCACTATTGGTCAAGTAGTGCAAGCTTCCCTCGCTGGCACTTATCAAATGCGAACAGTTTTTGCTGGAATTCGAACGCGATAACACTACGCAAGCAGTCAAAGTGGAAGCAGCACTGCTTCTACTCCATTTGTACAGAGCAGATGCTCTGCTGTGCTTGGAACGCGTTGGTGACTGCTACGAGTACCTTCGCCAGACAGCCCAACCGAAAATGCAAGCTTTGATGCAATGGTCGAGTGCTACTGGTCCGGCGATATCCAGAGAGATTGCATCGTGTCACTCGCAGTTGCTGAACAATTTAGCGGTTGCCACAGCATGCCATCGGGGCGTCGATGCCGGTCTCTTGCTATTTCGCAACGGGTTGGCACAATACCCTGCTTCTCTTGCCATGCAGTTCAACCTCGTCCTGTTGCTTTGGAGGAAAGGCGATCGAGCCACTGCGTGCTCTGTGTGGATGAAAGCTCGGAGGTGGAGTCTGCAAGCAAAGCATGGTGAAGTGAAGCTGACTCATGGAGAACGTCCGTATAATAGTGCGGATATTTGTCTGAATGCTGCAATATCTGCTAGTCATTCGCGAGACCCCTTTATTTCGGAGCACGTACAAGGAACGATTGACGGAGAAGATGGCGTATCTGCTCGGCAACTCCTGTACGTGGATGCCTTGATACTGAACTATTGGCGCAAGACTCGGGACAGCGAACTTCTCGATCGTTCTCTTCGATATGTTGAGTATCTTGAGAGGTCGGGCACGACAAGTGTGACTCGGTGAATAGATCGGAACGTCAAGCTCAAGTGTTGTGCCCCGCGACTCGAATAAAGGCTGCTAGTAAGTCCGATGCTTGCTGACCGGATTTGCCATGCTGCCAGTGCTTGCAGTATCAAACTGCCAATCACCAGGCAAAGGTATGCGTGTATTTCGGCAAGCAGAAACTGCTAGTACCGAAAAGCACTCTTCGTGTAGCAGCACTGACTCCGGGCAAAATGGTGAAAGGCAAAGAGTCGTCTTGCTTGAGGCCAGCTTACCTGTCGTCACATGCTGCAGCAAAACGCGTCGCTAATTGTTCGTCGCGACATGCCCGATCATCTTTTTCGATGTAGCACCAATTGGTTGGCAGTTGCACGCTCGAAACTTGGCCTACAACAAGGTCGCGACTGTCGAGTGCATTCAGAACCAGTCAAATCGCGAATGGGGACCGTGTCCACATAGCTGCTGTAATCACGACAAGCGCATGGGAATACGCAGGTGCTGATGAGTTGCAGCCCCTTGTGGGAATGACGGCTGATGTGCCTGCAACACAAAGAACCTGAGGCATTGCTGGCGGTAGATCCGATATGGATGCGAAACATTAACGGTGTTGTCAGGATCGCCTTGCGGTCCGACTCGACCTCATTGAATTCTCTGTATGGGTTATGATCGTACGCTGCGGGTCTTCCATTACTATTCCCAGCCAAGCTGCTCGACGTCAGTCAACATGTTATTCCATGTGCTATCATATCATTTCTTCCGACGCAACTTACCGTCATCTCCTGGTATGGAACGATACACTTCATACATGTCAACATGAACGTTGCTCGATTACAAGTACCTTGCAATGGTGTCACAAATCTGCAGCTTTAATGAACGCCCTGCATTTGGAACTTGACGATCCTCTGAGCGGTTTGCACGTCATTGTTAGGCCTAGCAGAAGCGCTCAACGGATCGTCAAGAGGTCTACCTCTTGTTGCAAACATTGTAACTTATCAGCCATGCAGTCAAGTGCATTTGACGCAGGACTTACGAGAAGCTGAAAGTTATGACCTCGTCGTTCCCGTAGTCATTCCGCAACTCTCATGGAAAAACGACATTCCCCACTGCTCGTGTCGATCGCACAAAAGTCGTTCTCTTGCTACACAGTCTGTCCAACTGAGCCAACTTCAGCGACTTTGTTACCCTCGCGCTGCATCACAAATGGTACAGACATCATCCGCACCAACTTCCTAACTGCAGCATCTCCCGATGCGCTTCTTTACTACGTGTCGTGCTCCCTGAGCATATCCAGTGCACAGAACCTCCTCGAAGGCAAAGCAGACTGTTTGTAGGCAATGAGAGCCATCTATGACTTGCTCGCTTTGAACGAGCCGCAACAATCGAAACAAGTGGAGATGAGCACGATAATGGTGATGATAGTAGCGCTATTCCGACTGCTTTCGATACCATTGTCGTCCTCGATCCTGCGTTTTGTGGACCAAGTACATTGACACTTGGATCACCGGCATCGAAGATGTACACTCGATGACATGTACTGCATTATGACTTGTTGACGGATGTGTCGATTCCATAGCAGCCATTCTGTCGGTGACGACGGCGCTATCATTTCACGAATCGAAATATAGGATGAGCTACAGTCTGATCACGACACTGATGCAGTCGGTGATGTCAAGGTTACACCTATCGTAACTTTGCGAACGCTCGATCCCATCGAGCAGATCAACAACGTGGCTGCCTTTGCGATACCGGTACATACCGTCCTCCTGTAGCCCCTCTTCTTGACTACCAGGACGTCTCAACGCTCTTTGCGCACATCCACCGACCCATCACCGGTATCGATCTCCTTACGTTCATGAAGCAGACGTCGTTCGCATGGCGACTTCTGCTGCTCCTGTGCTCTCTCCGTCGCGCACAGGGCGTCGTACCCACTGGCAGTCTGTCGATCCGTCTACCGCCTTCTTCACCGCACGCGTCTTCTCCTCTTGTCCAGCACTTTTTCAGCTCCCCCAGCGCCACGGCCGGTTGGGGCCGCGCCCTTTTCGCGCGGTCCAAAGCCCACGACCAGTCACTACTGCAGTTACCCGCCGGCAATCGTGACGGGTGTGCACCACACGACACAGCCACGCGCACTACTGCATCTGCTACTACGAACGCTCTGGTCGTAGTCGATCGGGGCAACTGTTCGTTCGTTGCAAAGGCACTGAGGGCTCAAGCCGCTGGAGCTTCGGGCGTGATCATCCGAGGCACGAAACGCGCTGTGTTTGAAGCCATCGCGTGTCGCAATGGGTCCGACTTGTGTGCTACTGACGTGATGTCAAGCGGAGACGAGACTGAAGACCGCATGGCTCGAGCGACAAGTGGTGCAACGGTCGACAAGCCCGTGTTCGAGTACGACTGTAGTCGTGGTCAAGCGTTTGTGGACAAACTGGCTACTCCTGTGTGGCTCACTGATGCCGACGAGTGCAGTAGCAATCACAGGTGCCCGTCGCGGTCGTGTGTACTCACGGGACATGCAAACGGCACGAGGCATCAGGTCTGCTGCATGTGGGACACGTTTGTGCTCATGGGCGCGGCGAATCGAACAGTAGCCAAAGCGGTGACTCTTCCAGTGGTGTACCTGACGATCGCTGATGGAAACAAGTTGCAGGCGGTGATGGACAAATACTCTGCGTCGTCACTCGTGGCACGCACCTATCGACGGGAACTGCCGATAATCGACGTCTCGTCGATGTTGTTGTGGGCGCTGGGCGTAGCAACCGCAATCGGAGCAGCGTATCATTCGGCTAGGGTGGTACCGAGTCACGATGACGGTCGTGCACCATATGACCACCATGGGCTGCACATGGAAGAGGAAAGCTGCGAGGAGGAAGGCCGTGGCGTATGGGAACTTGATGTTCGACATGCAGTGGGATTCATCATCTCGGCTGGAGTGATTTTGACGGTGTTCTACTATGTAAAGATTGCCGGTGCTATCCCTGTGCTTTTCGCGGTGTCTGCTACAGCTTCGATGGCGCAGGTGGTAACAACGCCTGCATTGGAAAAGTGGATGCCGAGCTTGGCTGCTCGTGAGGTCGCGTTGTCTCATTGTATTGGCGGCACCGCTCGCTTATCTGAGCTTCTTGGACTTTTGCCGAGTTGCGCGCTTGCGATTGTGTGGTATCTGCACCGACGTGACTACTGGATCTTGCAAGATTTCATGGGCATCTGCCTTTGCTTTGTGTTTCTGCAATCGGTGCAGTTGCCAACCCTCAAAGTTGCTACGGTGTTCCTTACGCTTGGCTTCTTCTACGACGTGTTCTTCGTGTTCCTGTCGCCCATTGTGTTCGGCTCCAGCGTTATGGAAGACGTGGCCACCGGAGGACCAGCCGCGTACACGAAAGACGGCTACCCAGGCGTTGACTTCTGCGAGAGGTATCCCCACTATCAAGCCTGTGTCGATCCCGAGCCAATGCCAATGCTTCTTATGATACCGCGCATGCTCAATTGGGCTGGCGGTGTCAGCATGCTCGGTCTTGGCGACATCATTTTGCCAGGCATGCTCCTTTCGTTTGCGCTGCGATTCGATGACGCTCAGAAAACGACAAGCTACTTCCGTTTACTGGCTGTTGGCTACGCCATCGGCCTCGCGCTTGCCAATGCGGCTGTGATGCTCACGGCAACGGGCCAACCAGCACTGATGTACCTCGTACCGACGACTTTGGGCTCTCTCGTCATTGCATCAAAACGAAATGGGCATTTCAGCGCCATGTGGACTACTGGTGTTGGAGTCGATAGTAAGAGACGAGGGAGCGAAGGCTCTGGATACCGAGCGGTCGGGTCCGAGGAACGGCTTCCCGGAGTTGCGAGTGGAGACACGCGAGACGCGGCTGGCAGATTCAGCGAAGGAGACCACATGCCGCTACTACGATCGCCAAGTTCCTAGGTGATTATCGTATGTGGTCTTCAGCTGTGCTGGAACTATTCGCCCAGCAAGACACTGCCTGCAAAGCGCGTTCGTCCTGTTGAATCATCTGCCATTCACGCGAGTTTCGCTGGCTATCTCAGACACGTCCGATGGTTTTCTACTAGTTGAGAAGCTCTGAATTGTAGCGCTCTGCCGATTGACACCCGTACGTCTGTAACCAGAAAAGTACAAGTCGATAGCTTTGCGGCACAATAACAATTGGCTCAGTGTTGCTATTGCAGTGCCGTCCTTCGTCATAGGGCCTCTCTAGGATCGAACAAAGACAGACAGACAGACAGACAGACAGACAGACAGAGGTCGTCCAAAACGACATTTCGAGATGGCTGCATGTAAAATATGATTTGGATAGCGCATGAGTTCAGGTCAGCCGATATCCTGCGAAAGTTTATAAACGCCTCGTGGTGCAACAACAAGTAGGCAAGAAAGCAAGCGACGACGATAAGCGAGCGCTCTCTGCCATGTTCGACTACGTGGCGCGTCAATACCGCTGGTACAAACTCGAGTTCGGACTCACGATGCTGAGCTGGTGGGAGGTCTCGATCTTCAGTGCGTTTGCTTCGATCTCATTGTTCCTCTTGCGCGCACGAGACGTGAGGTGATTGTGATGGGTTTTTTACTTGTCTTACCGTAATGTATTCTCGCTCGGTCTCCTCTGTAGACAGTTTTCTGCTGCTCGTGACCAGTGTGACCGGCTACTACGTCTACAGCTTCGGTCGCCACGTCGTTGGGCTTCTACCGTAGAAGCAAGTGAGTGGGGAGCAGAAAGGAACGAACGCAAGAGGGGAGAGGGGGACTTGAGCAGGCGAGTGAAGAGATGAATGTGATGTCCAGAGCAGATAAATAAAGAGGAGGTCGGGTCGGGCCTCGAGTTGTACAACCCGTTCTATGCTTTTGTGTGTCACTCTGTTATCTGAAAGAGATGCAGAAAGGCTGTGGTGGGCGACGGAAACGGGTGGACAAGACACGTGCGACACTGCGATGTGCTGAGGAACAATACACACGGACATGTACGTGGAAACAATTGACGCTAAGTTCGTGGAAGAGACGGCAGAATTGGTGCAGTAGAATGAGAAAAAGTGTCGATCCTGCGAGTGGTGATGCTACCCGTTTGCATCTGCTGAAATAGCGGATACTGAGCTGCTGGAAGCGTTTGTCTCGTTGTGTGGATATTTGACGGTTTCATCGGCGTTCGGCTCGATATCGTTGGTGCCTATGTATGTGGGAATTTGACCGAGTCCTCCAAGCCTTGTTGGGCATGATGCATGGCAGATCTGGAAAGAGATGGTGGGGCTGATGGGGGTCACGGTTAATTGCTTGTGTGTGTATTTCCATTGCTTATGTGTGCAGGTATAGCACCAGTATTGCCAGGGTGAGATTGCTAGAAAGCACGTTCACCAAATATTTCGTCTATACACTCACTGTGGTCACGTTTTTTTGCTTTTAGTGTCCGAGGGATCGCAAAGGTAATGGTGCATGCTACTGCGGATAGCTAAACGCTTAGCGGGAATGTTTAACCAGGCTGAAGAAGGGGTGGTATATCGTGGCACTGTTTTCACTCGAAGCAAGAACGAAGCGATACATCTCCAACACTCCGGATGGAAGACTGGAAGACTTGTCAACACTGGCTTTATCGTTCATGCTACAGCGCACGGTGATGAAGTCATTGCGACGATTGTTGAAGCGTGTACATCAGCGGAGATGAAATAGAGACGACAGTTCCTGGAAGGATTTGCAAGAAGGGTGAGCATCGACATTTCCGAGACAGCAACCGGTGGCAAATTCATCGACGAGAATCATCACGACAGCTCGAGACGAAGGACTTGAGCAATAATTTGGATTGACGTGATGCCTTTCAAAGGTCGAGATGGACCTGATGAAGTTGCTGCAGGGACCGATTCACGGCTTTTGACAAACATGGCAAGCCAGCGGCGCGCGTATGGTAAGCGTACTTCTCTTTGTTGGCCTTTGTCATTATCTCAAGCTGACATTGTGTGACGTTTGCCGCGACTTTGATGCAGTCGCTAGAACGATGAACGAGATTGACAACGACAACCGATAAATCGAGACGCTTCAATCTCCGCGTTTAATGCGCAGCCCCTACCGTCGAGGACCGTGCTTCTGTTAAATGATTCCTATCGTACTTCCTTGCTAATTTAGTGCTGGTGTGTGCAGCTTAATAGTGCTGACCGTGGATCCTCGAGCGCGACAACGAGTACAAGTCCGACAGGAACCCATCCTTGTCCAAATGACTCGTTCGGCCATACCTCGGGTGTCGTCTGCTCTGCGGACGGTCGCCAGCGTCCGAGAACATGCTGCAACCGAGGTCGTCAGAGTACGTGCTGAGACCGAGCTCGTCAAACTCGTCGGCAGAGGCAGTGTCGACAATGCCAAGGTCGAACCTACTCAGACCAAGACCAGGATCCGCTGCTGACCGCGTGTTGGCATCACCATCGTCGCCGCTCTTGCTCGAGACATTGCTCGACGTGCAAGCCGAATGCTGCGGTCGCTTGCTCTCCGATGACTTGTGGGGCGATCGGAAAGGCGGTAGTTGCGCGGGTCGTTCGTGTCGTTGCGACCAGGTAGGGGTCGCTGCGTACAGGTGGAGTGGTGACTGCTGGTTGTCTATCGACAGCGCCTGCTGTGCCAATGCCGACTGCTTTTGGTGCACGCGGTGTTCCCGTCTTTCCGACTGCGATTTGTGCGACGGCGGAGTGGCGGGGTACGGCGAGAACTTGTCCTCTGCATTTAGATCCGACAGCGAGACCACTCCGCCCCTGTGATTGCTCTTGGTCTTCGTGCGATCTTGTCCAGCTGCTAGACACTCGTGGAGGTACTCATCGTCGTCGCCGTCGCCGTCCTGACTGCTCCAGTCACTGGCCCAGTCGAGGTAATTCGAGGTCAAGCACGTTTCAACGGTCGACTGCGAGCTCTTGGTTGTCATTACCGACGACTTGAGACCATTGCGGCAACTCGGCGCCGGTTCGGCTTCACACTGGACGGATGATTGAGGTCCCCCGTCCCCATGCGATTTGGCTGTAAGATCACTTGGACCTTTCTGGATCGACACCTCAAAGTTCTGCGAGTCAATCATGACACAACTGTTGATACAGAGCTTACAGAAGCGCTGCTGATGCGGTCGCCCAGTCTTGGCGTTGATGCGGAAGACAAAGCGGTATTCCGAACAAGCTCTGCAGACACTCTGGAAGCAGCCGGCACACGGCCGGTTGGCGGACATGAAGGACCGGCCGTAGCAAATGTGGCAGCTCGAGTTGGTCGGCCACTCGCTGTTCTGCGTCTGTTTGATCAGCATCGAGTACTTCTTGGCACGTGCGCTGTTGCAAGCGTCCGTGACACTGAGGAGCGCACCAGCAACAACGTACTCGGCCATGCGGTGCGCGACAGAGTCCAAGTTGTACACAGTGGACCAGATGAAGCACTCGACGAGACAACTGTCGTAGGTTCGGTACAAGAAGCACGTCACGTGGTGTTCCCGCTTGGTGCCCTTGACCGCATCGATTGGCCACGCGGGATGGTCGATGGAGTGCACAACGTGGTAGGCCAGGACGTTCCCTCGAGCGTCTCTGGTCGTGCCCATGCGTTCATACGCGAGCACGTCGCGGTGCTTCGAGAGTCCCCACGCGGCTTTGGACGCATACCACTTGATGCCGGCAAAGCGATACGGATTCTCGTGGCTTCGACGCTCAAGAACGTTCACCATTTTGCCGTCCACTAACTTGCACTTGAGCAACGTCTTACTCGCTCGGAGGTCGTCGGTGGTGTCGCAATAGAGGCCGTCCATGACGTCCTGCACGGGCCCGTAGATGAGGCCAATGCCTTTGAAGAGCGTCACTTGGGGATCCCGTGTCCCCTGGACGCTCTTGTAAATACTAAGCTGCTGACGACGGCGCACGTGCATCCACGCGTCTTCGTCAATCCGTCCGCTTTGGGACGAGTAGTTGGCCACGGCGTCCGACAGAAACGACGCGACTTTGCGGTCGTACCGAGCGCGCTCGGCTGGCGTGAGCTCAATGTTCGGACACGACGGAACGGGGGAGTCGAGCATCTCGTGACGATGCGAAGAGCTCTGGTACGGGTTTGTCTTGGGGGCGAAGAGGTGAGAAAATGCAAATGGGGTGCAGGTGGTGTTCAGAACGCTCCAAGTGGGTTTGTCGGATGTTGGGATGGAAATCGGGTGCGATTTCCACAGTACCGACGCCGCCCGTAGTGCCTTGAAAGGGACAAATCTCGACCTGCGTAACGGCAGTAAGTAGTAAGTAAGTAGTAGGCCGTCTTTTGGTTTGTGCTAAAGTGTGGATAGCACGCGGTGAAGTCGTTCGGAAGGTGGTGTGGTGGCGCACGAGAGAAAGGGCCGGAGACACGACGACGGCGACAGCGACGAGCCTGGCAAAGTCGCCGCGACAAAGTCGGGATCTTGAGACTGAGGCGTTCAGCTTTTGTCGCAAGACCGATCTCCACGAGCGTTGCTGCGTCTCGTCGAGTTTGTGGGCAGGAGAGCCGCGCACGGGACAGCCTGAATCGAGCAATGGCCGCGTTGGGACACGGGCGCCCAGTTCCTGTCCGAGCTGCTGCAGGGAGCGCAGGGACAAGGATGGGACACGATTAGGTGACGCGTTGAATTGTCGATCGTAACGCGCGGGTAGGGAGTGTCCACGACGGCCTTCTTCGCGTGCAGAAAGAGTCCTTCCCCTCCACCCACCCACGCGCGCCCGCAGTGGAGTAGTTGTCCACTGCTAGTGAACGATTGACCACAGGAGGGCGTCGATGGACTACGTACTCCACACTGAACTCTATGGTCTTGCGGCGGCAAGCACGTAGATGCTATCGACAATCGAGAACGACTTTGACTTTACAGGCGGTGCGAACGACGACGCGAAAACCGAGTCGCCTCTCAGCAATGCGTAGGGCCCCCGTCTTCGCTTTCAGTCTCTACGCACATCGGAACGTCCCACTGACACGACGGACGTGTGTTCTCGTCTCATACCGAGTCTCAACATCAACGAGAGACCTGCTCCACGCTAGTTGCTAGCAACAGTAGTAACCAGAGCGTCGCTAGTCGCGGTGCATGTCATCTGTATGACCCTAGGCACCACGCAATCACCTTGCATACCAATTCGTCCCAGCGGCATACACCGACACTTAACTTTGCTAGAGCCTCAGCGGCGTTCCTGCAATTTCAATGCAACTCCTGGACGTGTTACCAACTCGCTACTACGCTGGACCGTAGCATTAGTAGCCCTATCCTTTCGAGTCTGTCGCAGCATAAAATCCTGTCGGAGTCGCACATGTTGCACGCTGACATTCAGCTCGAGACTGTTCAGCCATGGAATGCTGCGTCAAAACAGCAGTAACTTTTGCAGCAAGAGGCATCTGGATTGTGACGCATGCAGTGTTTCCAGGTCCGCTCGCAGCCCATATGGGACCGACGAAGTGCCTCCAAATCTGCCTCTAAAAGCGAGCTGCCTAAACACCAGCGGGACGAGGAATGCGTCTGCCATGGAGGTTTTCGTAGGAACTCGAAGCGACGACCAAGTGTTTTACGCTCGACCGCTCACGGCGTTACTCACAACGCGTGTATTCGGGTTTTTGTCTCCAAGCACGAATGGCGCTGATGATACTAACTCAACGCAGTGGGATGTCGGCCACTTTCGCTTTACCTGCGGCCGGCAAGGTGGAGTAGAGGTGGTCTACTGTCACGCCGCCGACGTACAAACATTCGAAGACTTCGGCATGAACGTTGTGGCTGTGATCGTGAGGACCAACAAATACCGTGAGACTACTGAGTTTGCTTTCAATTTGCAGGCGACGAAAAGCTTAACACGATTGTCTGTTGTAAAACAATCGATACATTGCGACGTGCACCCGATGGCATTCGCGATTCCGCGTTTGTGGCTTGGACGCGCTGAATCGTGCAGAGCAATAATACCCACACCTTCTTGGTTCACCAAGCGCTCTCCGATGGGATACTAGCAGCTAATGCTGCTATGTAGTTGTCGTCAGGTACTACTTTGTCGAGTATACCCATCGCATCGATACCTAACAAGTAGCAGTATTCGAGCTTGAGGGGCGTGTGCGAATGCGTTCATGAGCTGTATGCGTTCGGGAAGCGTCCATCCCGTTGCGACGCGACTCTTTGATGAATGAGACATCGGGTTATCGAGTCCACTGGTGAAACGTACCTCTTTTCGAGAGTCTATATGCTCTTGTAAATCCTGAAGTTGCAAAGCGCAATACAATTATATCACGAGTATACTGCAATCAATTTACAAAAGTCTACGGTCCACTACTTCTTGGTATCAGTTAAAGTTGATTTGAAGCCCAAACGACCTGTACCGAGTAGGTGTTTCCGATGGAAGCTTAATGTGGCCATAAGAATCCGAGAACAGTTCATGAATAGATAGACCTACCTTCTGCCTTTTTCTCATTTGAAACCAACTTTAATTTGGTGTGCCTTCTCTGATAAGAGCTTATCATTTTTGTACCGTTGTCTTACTGGCTAATGATTGGTCTGAAACGAATAAATTCATGAATTGCAACCGCTCAATAGATGTAGTGAATTTACCTGAAAATGCAAAACTTGTTGAATGGGGTGGGCTTATTGCATCACGACATACCATACTATAATACACATGCCTTAGGTGCTGATCGATAACTAAAAGAGACAGATTTGACGCGCATGTGCAAGTCAACAATGACAGGGAAATGTATAGGTATTATAATGACCTTATAAAAAACTTTTTGCAAAATCGCGTGATAGATTGATCGTGATTCCAGACCGTACACTATGTACGACCTGGTCCCAAAGATCAATTTCATATCGTTATAAAGCATGTAAGATCACTCTGGTCTCTTTTGCGTGACGCGACAAATAATCAGCGGCACGAGATGCAACGCGTAACAGTAACTGTTTAGTGATCACCCGGAGATGGATATTAATAGATACGAGGGATCAAACTTCACGGGATGACTTGCAACCAATGAGGTCCTTGCGTATTTCGTGTTCATTATGTGAATTAAGAAACACGATAAGGGAAAAAGCTTAACATGGAGATCAATTTTGCTCGTTCCACGCGATCGAAGGATTTTTTTTGTATGTGAAGAATTATTGCAACCAATCTAGAGAAAAGTGGCGACGACAATTCACTGGATCAACAAATGCACGAAAATAAGCGAGAATTAAAGCAATTACGATCGCAGCCATGAAACAATGTGGCCACAACTACTTATGGTAAACCACGCTATCTTCTAAACATAAAAAGTTGGAAGTAACAAAATTCTTGCAAAGCGCTGCGATAACGTCATGATAGCATTGTTATTTGTACACAGAACGAAGACATTTCGACTCACATCTTAAGCAGCAATTATATTTACAGTAATTGACTCCATTTTGACCTCATTGTCACGCATAGCATTCTTAATTTCGTGCACAAAATATGGGGCGAAATCCACACTCCTTCCTCTAAGCGAATGCCAAGCCAGCAAATTTGTTGGCGCGAGATAGATTACTCACGTGCACTATAAGTTGGACATAGAGCGCGCTTTAAATTACTTTTGTAAGTTTGATTTGGATAGGTCCAGCGGAATTTACTGGCATATTTCGCAGCGATATTAAGCCCACATGAAGACAAGCCTGGAGTCCTGGTTTCCAGAGCTATCTGCATATAGCAGCAAATTGGGCATCATATATTGCACTCGAGATGGGAAACCATTGTATTGTGATGCGCGAGTGAAGAGGAACTAAGGTAGAATGTTAGGAGATCGAAAGCTACTTCATCCTGATAAAGATATATAGCGCCAGGTCTTGACCAGCCACACATAAACAAGTTCTTTCGAGATTATGCCAGCACGTAGAGTCCATCAGGAGCTACGATGTTTCTATGAGCAACTTATCCTGCTTGTTGCGCAGACTAGGAGATCGTAGCCAGCCAATAGCCTTCACACGTTTGACGCTGAATGTCTGGTGTGGTTGTAGGGGATTCCTATTATATCTTTTATAAACAGCTTCGATCTTAAGCACCTAATAAGAACTAATGAAGGGGATCGTATTTGCTAAAATCTGCCCTCGTTACATATTTGCTACATTCTTTAAACAGAAGAACACGATTTTGCTTCTTACATACATTCACATTCTATTTTCCACCGCTTTGCTAAATTCTTGTTTCAGCTATTTACAGACGACGTTAATGCAATCCTGTCATAGCGGGTTATCAACTGACGTAAAAAAAAGAGCTTTGACATTGCTGTGCCAAAAAATGGCCGCGCTGAGGCTCTCCATGCGTAGTTGGCTGCAAACACCAGTACTTTAGAAACGGGTAGCTGATAAGAGTCGCCTAATGTGGCCTCGGTCCGAACGTTACGCGAAAACGACACGTCGTGCAACGTCAATTCCTATTTCTTTGCTTGTGGCTCCGTGTGATCATATCAGCGCCCTTAATTACGCATTTGGCACTCTGTCATGGGTATCTAAAAAAATCAATGTGGCACAAGGCGTAGGTGATTGACCCGTGGCAAGTAGAGCTGGATCACAGGACTTTTTAAACGCTCCAATTACACAAAGCAGGTCAATCTCGTTTGCGCGTCTTTCGCGGTACTAGTGTGCAAAATCAGCAAGTGAAATGAAGAGAATCAACCTCGTATACGCGTTTCGAGTCTCCTTAAAAATACATATAAAAACCACGGCTTCGACTTTATTCTTGACAACACATTATCAAGTGGTTCACAGTTGTCATTATGATCATCGTCTCAAAGAGCTTGGATGTTGTATCCCAGAAGAATGAAGTGAAGCGCGGAACCACGGTCGGGAGGATCAAGTTCTAATCGACATGGTGACGATAGGTGGCTGTCAGACACTGAGACGAGTAAGCACGTTTTTCTGAAAGCAAAATGACCGACGAGCGCCAAGATGTCATTGGCAAATTGCTTAGTGTATACTCTATATATGTAAGCATAAGTGTATGCGACCTGAAAATAAGAATCATACAATTTGGCGGCAAGTTTAGGTAGCACAGGAAAGTGATTCAGGAAACTTTGAGGCAAAATCTATGG